CAAATGTCCTAGTGTCAGAGCTAGAAAGGACCCAGGATATCACATTGTCTAATTCTTCCATTATTTTTTTTTCAGATGAGGAACTGGGAGTTAGAGGTAGAGTGTTATAGAAACATCACACTGCTAGCTAGAGTTAGAGCTAAAACCAGAACTTCCAACTTAGGCTGCCAGTCCAGGACACTTGTTCAATGCCTTGCACATGGTAAGCCTTCAACAAATATTAGGTGACAAGATGGTTTGGTCCCTTTTATTCTTGAATGGTCCTTCCAGCTTTGGAGGAACTAGGACGACCTAGGTATTTGCTCCTTTGTCAGTGTTTTGTAGCATTTATACACATTGCTCATCACCCTGTGTATTTGTAAGCTGTCTGGGTTGGGTACTGGTTTCCTTCCATGAGGTTGTGAGTCACTGAAGACAGTAACATTATACTTGTTTCCTTGTATGCTGACTGCTTGGCTCAGTGCTTAACACGCAGCAGGCACTGAATAAGTATTGAACAAATGATTGATTTATTGAATGAATAAAAGCTAGTGTGTTGCTCCCATGTGAGTCAGATGGTTCCAATACTGTGTCAGTGTGGTATTTAACAAATTGATTCTCAGGAGAAAATGTGACTTTATTCTGCTGAATAGAAAATTACTAAGATTCGTCCAAACCCATAGAATATACAGCACCAAGAGTGAACCCTAATGTTAACTATGGACTTTGGTGATATTGATGTGTCCATGCAGGTTCATCAGTTTTAACAGATGTGCCATTCTGGTGTGGGATGTTGATAATTGGGGAGGCTATGAACATGTGGGGGCTAAGGGTTTATGTAAAGTCTCTAGACTTTCTATCCACTCAATTTTGCTGTGAACCTGAAACTACACTAAAAAGATAAAGTCTTTAAAAAAATTACAAGGATAGATTACAAAGTATTTTAAAAGATGGGATTATCGAGAAAAGCCATTTAGGCATCTCATATTCATGGGTAAAATGGGAAATCAAAAAGTATTTCAGTTTACATCCCCCTAGCCATGAATAACTTTCATTTATTCTTTATCTTTGACAACACATAATATTATGTGTCTTTAAATTTTGCTAATTTTTATGGAGGCCTGTCGTTCAACTTGGGGATTTTTATTACAGTATTCTGAAGACTCTTAAAAGTCATCCCTTTTTCATATTTGGCCAGTTATTTATACCGTCAAGTTTTTGAAGTGCCTGTTCAAATATTTTACCCAATTTTATATGAAGTTCACTTTCTTTTATTTATTACATTTATTAATCATATATCTTGTATTTTATTGTATATATGTTGGGATAAATATTTTTCTCCATACTTGGTTTGTATTTTAATTCCTGGGTGGTATATTTTGAAACACAGAAGTCATCATTTTTTATATAAACTAAATTTTCCTTCTGAATTGTTCCTTTCTTTGTCCTGGTTATGAAATCTTTGTCTATGAGAATATTTTATTGTGTTTCCTTCACCTTCAGAACATGAATCCATGTGGAAATGAACTGTGTATGGTTTGAGGTAGGGGTCAATATTCAGTTATGTCCATTTGAATATTTAATTGATCCAGCATTGTCTCTATCACATTGTAAATTTCACTGTGGAAGAGCACTCTAATAATGCATGATCATTTGTATGTGAGATGAGAATTACAAAGGAAAGCATAGCTTAGGAGGTCAAATAAGATTACCTCAAAAGTACAGATTCATAAATGAAACCCATGGATAAGTATAATATTGTTAGATGAGGAGAGAGAAAATATTTCCAGGTTACCACTGAGTCTTTAGTCCAAGTATTTTTCATGAAGCACAATATCTTTACTTTCTTTCATTGATTTTAACTTTATTTAGACACCTCTGCCATCTATTATTTCACTCTGTGACTTGACATTCAGAAAAAAAGAAAAACCAGAGAATATATTCTATGCCATGCACCATGGCTAATGATAATAGAAAGACTGACTTCCCAAGAATGTGATCTCTAAAGAATGTCATCTCTGGGCATGGAACTCATTCCCCCCTTTCTCCACTTTGTATCACTGAGGCAACTGGCTTTTCTAAGCCAAAATATTCAGGAAGGCATTTGGTGACATGGAGGCATTTGGCCACACCATGCCTTGGAACTTCATGGATACAGCAGACACATATTGCAGAACTGCCTTCCATACTCATTTCCTCCCTAATTAAAAACAAACAAGCAAACAAGGAACCCCAAAGCACTTCCAGTCATTCATATAACAAAATAAAATCTATTACGCACCTAAGGATATATTGTTTCCTTGTGTTGCATATTTCTTTTAAGTCAATCTGTTTTGATGGTTGTATGATGCTTTACTCAATTAAAATCAGAGCTGTAGCCTTTGGCTCTCATCTGTGACTCCATTTGGAGAGTTCAGAGTGTGAGCAAATATCCAGGATTTGAAGAGGAAGGCATTAATTGGGTAGAATTTTTCAGTGGCTTCAATGGCCACCTGGATATTTTTCCTCATTCCATATATTCTCCATAAATGCTTATTTTCAGGTTAAGCCCGGCCTAAGGAGGGGACACATATTCTGAAACTAATGATCAAGCTTCTATTTAATATCACACTCCTGTATAAAGTTTTGGCTAAAACAGGAAGAGTGAAATTCTGTTAGAAATATATACTCCCTATTTATAACAAAAACTTAAAGCAGAAATTGTTTAATTTTAATTGACTTTAAATAAAGCTACTTAGATTCTTTCTCACACTAGTGATAGATTTTTATTAGTTTTATTGCAGAACAATTTTGGCCCCAAAGGTGCTATTTGAAAGACATCTGACAAAATCATCTATAAAAGTATATAGTTTATGACAGAAGATAAATGGAATTTTTAATATTTGCTTTTGTTTAAAGATAAATGTCCTATATGGGGATAAAATTAATTGATTTGAACATTTTTCTCTGAATATGCATCATGCTCTTTGTTGAAATGTTGATCAATACTAGTGTATTAATGTAGGATTTTTCGTGATCACTTTGCCAGCTGGAAACCTCTGGCTGGCTGTGTCTCTGCCTTGGCCTCACTCAGCCTGCCCCAGCTTGTGCACTGGCTCAGCCCATGATTGGACCAGGCATACCCCAGCCCACTTGTATTAAACCCATGTTTGGTGGTTCCTGAGTTCTTGTCCTGTGTCCAAGAAGAATGAGGATATGCTGATAGTTGAAGGGTGAGGAAGACAGAAAAGAATTTTTTTGAGTGATGGAACAGCTCTCACTAATGGAACAGTCCCCTCAGAGAGGGGACACAGAGCTGGTCCCCTACCCAAAATCAGGTAGTTTCTTTTCCAGTGTGGCTGAGTCAGAAGGCTAAAACAAAGGTGCCACTCAAAGGTGGGCATGACAGTGTAGAAATCCAATTAAGAAAGGGTAGATATATGTAAAATAGGTGAAGGGTGGGGACCAATCCGAGGAAAGCCTCCAAATGGGAAGAGATTTCTCAATCCTGTCTGAGGATTTACCCAGGACTGTCTTCAGCTTGAAGATTGGGTTTCACCGGGGACCTGCCCCATCTGCCTAGGCATTAGATTGCCTTGATTTTCTGGCTCGATTTGCCTTGATTTTCCTGGCATAATCAGTATGAAATTCAAAGAACAAAATAACATGGAATAAGAACTACAATATTATTATTTTTAAAGAGTTTTAGAATTGCTAAGATGCTTCATTATTCAAGCAGTATGTCCTTCTGTAAGTTATAGAGTAGAAGTTGGATATCATTCAATTAGGTTTTGCAACAAAATTAAAAGCCGCTTTGTAGTAGCAGGTGTTTCCTGACTCTATTTCTTGAGTTTTAGATCAAAGAATAGGAGCAAATATCATCTCATCTAAGAAATGTCATGGGAAATATTGTCCATCACTAGCAAGTTTGATTGTTGTTGAAATGCATGAAGAATTAGGAAAATCATCCCTAAGTTGTTTTGGCATCAATAGCTATTGCAGGTTCTGGGGTATGCATCTTGGTAGACTCGCCAGGTTTCCCACATTCTTGTGGTTAATATCCTGTTTCAGAGCTCCTAGCAGACAAAGGACTGCCTGTCCCACCCAAAGACCCAGGACTAGGGGTTGTAACTAACCCCATCTGTGGTGCTTTGGAAATAAAGCCAGCAATATCAGTTTCTTACTGGTGTTGTAACTAACTGCCATATTCTGAGTGACTTAAAACAACACAAATGTATCATATTATTGGAGTTCTAAGTCCAAAATCAGTGTCAGTGGAGTAAAATCAAGGTGCTGACAGGGCTGTGATCCTTCTGGAAGCACTAGAGGAAAACTGTTTTCATGCCCTGTCCAGCTTCTAGAGTGTCCTGCCTCTGTGGGTGGGATGTTGCTTGTCCACTGTTTCTATAACCTGGCTGGTGATGTGTAGAGGAGAGCCCAGCTGAAGTAGTGCACAATCATTGGTGTACCAGTACTAGGAAACTGGCTCTTCCCACCATCGCCCTGCCCCTCCATCAAAACCAAAACAAAACAAAACCAAAAACCCAACAAAACAAAACACCACGGCTTATTTGTAGAATTTGCCAATTTGCTGAAGTGTAAATACTTCTATCCTTGCCGATTTCACACTACCGGTGTGACATCACTGAGCAGGCAGTGAGGAAGAGAAGCAATTGGTGATGCTATCACACAACTGCGTGTAATCTTTTCGCAATACCTCGGGTTGACTTTTGCTCCCAGGTTTTGCTAATGGTCTTTCACAGAGCTTTTTCTAACTACCCCTGGGTTTGGAATGCATCCTAGAGTTCAGAGTTCAGCAAGGATCTTTGTCACCTTGCTTTTTGTCTGAGACTATTAGATCTGTTGTTCCCTTCCTCACTTTCACTTTTCCCCATCTATGTTTTCCAAAGCTATTCTGTCAGAGAAAAGAAAAAGATAATCATTCAGTTTGCATTACTCCAGTTTTGTGTAATAATTGATAGGTTTCAGAATTTTACTGTCTCACAATAAGGCTTAGGGAGGGAGAAGGTAGTTTGGAGTCCCCGGATACTGAGTTGCTCCTCTCTGAGCCAGACTCTTCAATTTGTACATAGTAATGTATCTTCAAGGAGGGAGAAGCTGTGGCGGCTTTATTTACCATCTTAACCCTGAAATCTCACCAGTAAGCATTTCTGACTAGTTTAGAGAACAGCTATAGCCTTCACAGATATTCTCATTTATATTGAGGTAACATCCCAGAGGAGGGTTTCAGGCCATTTTATATGATATGGAATAGTATTAAATTTGGTCAAATGACTGAATTCTCCTAAAAAATTTAAATAGAATTACCATATGATCCAGCATTTCTACTTCTGGGTTCAATACCCCAAAGAATTGAAGGCAGGAACTTGAACAGATATTTGTACACCCATGTTTATAGCAGCATTATTCACAATAGCCAAAAGATAGAAGCAGCTCAAGGGTCCATCAACAGATTAATGGAGAAATGAAATGTGGTATATACCTACAATGGAATACTATTCAGCCTTAAAAAGTAAGGAAATTCTAACATGCTACAACATCATGAACCTTGAAGACATTAAGCAAATGAAATGAGTCAGTAACAAAAGGACAAACACTGTACGATTCCACTGACGTAAGGTACCTAGAGTAGTCAAATTCCCAAGACAAAAAGTAGAATGGTGTTTGTCAAGGGCAGGGTGGGGGAAGAGAGAGTTAGTGTTTTATGAGTAGAGTTTCAGTTTGGAATTGTGGAAAGTTCTGGAGATGGATGGTGGTGATGGCTGCACAACAGGGTGATTGTATTTAATGCCACAAAACTGTACACTTAAAATGGTAAGAATGATTACATGTTGCATACATATTACTGCAATAAACAAAAAAGGACTTTGTTTTTGCTGTTATGCTGATAGTGTTGAAGTCTGATCAGTTAAAGAGCACTAGGAACCAGCCTGTAGTCTGAGGAAGTCAGATTTATTGACTTAAAATAGCAGACGGTGGGGTGGGGGCGCTGCAGAAGCATGGCTCAGTGGGAAGGACAAGGGAAGCATCTGTGGGAGGGTTTGGGCTCCTTGTGAATGATTTTGAGGATGGGCTGAGGAAGCAGGATCAATTTTGGATCGTTTGCTGTTTCTGAAGCGAGAAAAGGAGAAGTGAGGATTAACAAGGGACGGGTGCTGTATGAGGCATGGGCAATTGGACACCTGGATATGTATCCCCACCAGCGTTAGATGGGAACAGCAAGGTGGGTCTCCCCAGCGTTAGATGGGAACAGCAAAACAGGTCTGGGGCATCACTAGTAAGAAAGCAGTAAGTCGCTGGTGCTGCTTGTGTGCTCGTTTGGTGCGGACCTGGTACCTCTTTTGTGTAGCGGCAGCTGAGGAGACTCCGGCGCTCGCCATGGCCGACGAAAAGCCCAAGGAAGGAGTCAAGACTGAGAACAACGATCATATTAATTTGAAAGTGGCGGGGCAGGATGGTTCTGTGGTGCAGTTTAAGATTAAGAGGCATACACCACTTAGTAAACTAATGAAAGCCTATTGTGAACGACAGGGATTGTCAATGAGGCAGATCAGATTCCGATTTGACGGGCAACCAATCAATGAAACAGACACACCTGCACAGTTGGAAATGGAGGATGAAGATACAATTGATGTGTTCCAATAGCAGACAGGAGGTGTCTACTGAAAAGGGAACCCTGCTTCTTTACTTCAGAACTCTGTTCTTTAAAGACCAAGATTACATTCTCAGTTAGAAAACTGCAATTTGGTTCCACCACATCCTGACTACTACAGTAT